GGCGCCCACGGGGACGAGGGCCGCGCGGGGTGGCGCGCGCTCCAGGCTTTGTGCGGTGTGAGGCGGGGTGGCCGGGTGCAGCTAAGGCCCGTGTGCGCGCCTCCGCCTGCTGTGCCTCAGTTTACCCCCCTCCTGGTGCGCGCGGGCACCGCTGCTCCCAGGCTGGAGGGAAGATTGCTCTTCTGGAAACTGAGGCCCGGCGACTTCTCCAGCCCGCCACTTCTCCCTTAGCCCTTTCGCTTTACTCAAGTTCATGGTGCTCGCGCAAATCCTAGGCTTTGCAGACTACGGATTGGAGCATCTCAGAGTTCTCGCTTGCCTCCCGCCCTGTCTTTCTGGAAGTGAAGTTCACTCGTGCTGCGAATTGCACTCTACAGAAGTCGTGCACCCGGTTAAACAAAATAAATAATAAAAAATCTTGCCGGGGTGCAATAAAAGTCATGCCGTCCCTTTATGGAGAAAGTGAGGATCAATCATAAACGGTTTGAACTCTGTTTTTGGAGTGGGCTACGCTGCAGTACTTCAGAAACTCGGGTAAAGTTAACGGTGGCCGGGACAGACTTGTTGGCAGCTAGGACTGGTTGCAGTCAGACCGTAGTTTCCCAGAAAGGAGAGCGCCCTTCCCGTACCGGGACTTCCTTCTTTCAGCTCTGGCTTCAGAACAAACTAATGGCGCCTGTTTTGTGCTGGAGGATTCCCGGAGTGTGCATAACTCAAGAAAACAAGTAGGACTCGCTGAGGCGCGTTTGCTTAGAAACAACATTTACTAATGCGTTTTTAAGGCAAAAATATCTTTCACTGGTGCATTTTTAAAAGTTTATGTCAAGAGAATTGAAGGCGCCCATGCCGTTGTAAAAAAAAAAAAAAAGTATTACAGAGACACTCTTTGTTCACTGCCCAGCTCTTCCCATGCCATGTCTGCCACAATTATACCACAAGCGGGCTACTAATTGTGGTGCAGATTTTTCAGATCTCCTTATGCACATCGGTGTGTAGCTATTTAATTCTATACAGTTTTCTCACCTATATATCTGTCCACCACAGCCAAGTACAAATGTGTATTATTTCGGGTTCATACGCAGTAATGTAACAGGCTGACCGTAAGAACCTCAGTCACCTAGACAGATTATTAGAAAATGCACGGCTGTTTTCACTTTGAAACTGTGGCAGGTGTATAATCTCCTAAAACAGCACCAAATAAAGTCTGATGGCAGAAGCTGAAGAGATGGTTCGACAGTTAAAAGCACTTGCTGCTCTCACAGAGGACCAAGCTACTGGTCTGTTCCCAGCACCCACATGGTGGCTCTGGATGGTCTGTAACTCCAATTCTGGAGGCGCCAGGCACAAACATGGTGTGCATACACGCAGGCATATATGTGCATAAATAAGAATTTTTTTGAGTCCAATAGCAGAGCCAGTCTAGCAGTGGATAAAATTTCTAAGCCACTTTTTACCTTGCCCATGACAGCCTGGTTATCCTTCAGATTCCAGCTGCTCCTGGTGAGTTGGTGTTCTCTCGTTCTTGCTAACACTCAAAGCTGTTCCTCGGGTGCTGTAACTCCTTAGCCAGGACTTCCGACAACTTCCACCAGCACACACATCCTTTAATATGTATACTAAAAACCTTTTCTTCAAGAAAGTCCATTCATCTGAAGCCAGGCGTGGTGGCAACTGCCTATAGCCCCAGCAATCAGGAGGTTGAGGCAGGAGGATTGGCACAAGTTTAAGGAAATCCTGAGCTAAAGAATTAGATCTTATCTGGAGGAGAAGAGGGGAGAGAGAAAGAGGAAAGGGGGGAGGAGGAAAAAGGAGTGGGAAGGAGACTGGTTACCTGGGTGTCTCCTTCCCAGGACCTCGAAGCCATGTCCAGCTACATCACACGTGTTTATTCTATCGGTTCACAGTATCTGTATGTTACTGCTTATACTCACCTATATAAGACAACGGTTAGATCTCATATAGCTAAGGGAATTCTAGAACCTGCTCACAGATAGCAAGTCAGCCATCATCTCTCCATCCGTCTGTTCCATATATTGTACTCTGCTCATCTCCCCGCTGGTCAATAAATAGGATCTCTGTGTTTGGGGCTGTGCGTGGTTGAACCCATCTGAGGGCCGAAGCAGCAACTGCCACCTTCTAAAATGACAGCAGTTTTCACGGGCCACCGTCATTCTTGGCCGTTGGTGCTTTATATTTACCATCCCCATCTCCACATCACCTGTATGAAGTAGAAATCTGAACCCAGTTTGTGCAGAAGAGAAACTGAGATACACGGACTAATAAAGCCTAAAGTCCTTCTGATTCATAGCCATGACCTGTGTTTCTAACTCTTGAAACAAATAGCACCAGGCACTACTATGAGTACCTCTTTTATATTGCCTCACCTGACCCCATGAAGTATTCTTTAAGATCTTATTTTAATATATATATATGAGAGGTGTTAATGAAAGTGTAATACTTACAGAAGTCAGAAGATGGAGTGAGGGCCCCAGGAGCTGGAATTATAACAGTTATATGCAGCACCATGTGGGTGCTGGGAACAGAAAACAGTAAGCACGCTTAACTGCTGAACCATCTCTCCAGGCCTGAGGTAAGAACTATTTCTATTCTTATTTTACAGACAGACAAGCCGAGGACCAGAGAAGTAAGATAACTTGACCCCAGGGTGTGTATTTAGGAAATGCAGAGCGAGGATGCAAACCCAGGCAGCTCCACTTAGACTTGGGGCTCTTAACCATGCTCTCAGCATCCCCAGTGCAGTCCTTCATAGAACTGAAAAGATCTATGGTCTGCGGGGGCCACTAACCCCTAGATGTAGCAACCTTATGCTAGGTAATGATACAAAAAGTCCACTTCCCTCAAGCTTTCCCTAGCAAGAAACTGAACTGCTAACTTGTAACACATAAGAGAAGTTGCCAGTCTCGCAGAGCCCCCATCCCACCGGGGTCCCACAGGGGTTCCCGGGACTCCTCTCCCTGAGAAAGATGTTCCCAGTCCTCTGAGCGTGTAGAACCCAGAGGAAAGGCATGGCCAAGAAATTACATCTTTCCAAGCTTAAATGCACTTGTAACAATTTGTTTGTACTATTTAGCTCCTGTTCTTTCTTTCTTTCCTGTTCTTAAGACAGGATCCCACTCTATAGCCCTGGCTGGCCTGGAATTCACTATGTAGACCAGGCTGACCTCAAGCTCACAAAGATCCACCTGCCTCTGCCTCCCACCCAGTACTAGGGTTAAAATATGTGCCATATACAGGTTTTTATTTTAATTTTTGTTTATTTTGGTTGTTGTTTTATAGCCTGAGATGGTCTCAAACTCACTATGACCTTGAATTCCTGATCCTCCTGCCTCTGCCTCCCAAGTGCTGGGCTTATAAAATGTACCACCATTATGTTCCTATGAAAGTAGAAATCTGTGTATGTAGAGTAAAATCCCTGCGATCCATACCACACAATAGGCTCCAGTCTGAGCAGAGGTGGTTCAGGCAGTGATCCTTGGTGTAGTGGCACACTAGGGTGTGCAGTGCAAAGTGGCTGTGTTGTGTGCTCTGAACCAAGGCTGCAATGGGCAACGCACAAACAAAACTGCCATTGAGTGCATTAAGATTTGATTCCGAAATGCTTTTTGGTCACTGCGCACTAAGAGACTTTCACTGTTATCAGAGTCTTCGTGACCCTCCATGTTCAGTTATGTGACTTGCAGGCTAAGGTCACCGGGGTATGTATTTCAGAAGCAAAACTGAACGGCAGGAAATAACTAGAGACAAACAGAACTTGATTCGCCACACACCTAGGTTGTCTGGTTCACTGCAGTGAGAACAGGAACCCCGGGTGGGTGGGGTCTGCTTGCCCGGGTACTGGATAGCCACTACAACACTTTGTTACACTGTATTTGTTTTAAGCTCTCTTCCTATTGCTATTGTTGCCATTCTTTTGAGACAGGGTCTCACTATGTAGCCCTGGCTGGCCAGGAAATTGTTGTATAGATAGATCAGCTTGCTTCTGACTTACAGAGCTCCTACTGCCTCTGCCTCCTAAATACTGGATTAAAGGTATTGGCATTTTCTGTTATGTCCAGCTATGTGTTTTTACAATTTTGCTGTTGTTTTGAGACATTCATGTAGGCTAGGTTGACCACAAACTATGAAGCTGAAGATGACGTTTAATCTCTGATCTTCCTAATTCAGCTTTCCTAAATGTTGGAGTAATAGGTATGTATATACTTCCTTGTTTAGATCTATAATTTTTAATTTTATTTTGTACGTATGCTGTTTTGCCAGTATGCATGGCTGTGTATCATTTCAGTGTCTGGGACTTGAAGAAGCCAGAAGAGGGCATCCAATCTCCCAGAACTGTGTTATAAATGGCTGTGAGCCACCATGTGAGTGCTGAGAATTGAACCCAGGTCCTCCAGAACAGTAACAAATGTTCTTAACTCCTGAGCCATCTCTCCAGCCTGAAGTCCCAACTTTTAAGAACTTTGTTAGGCATACCACTATTCCACTTCTTCCCAGGGACCGGCAGCTTCCCTAAATCACAGTCCTTCTTACCTGCAAAATCCTCTCTGCAGCCACTATTCCCTTTCTCCTCCCAAA